CTTCTCCTTCCCCACCCCGCCATCAGAGCCAGAGAGCTTTTGCTCCCAAAGAAGTGTCCGTTCTCATGGCTTGGCTCAGAGTGTCAGAAGGGAGCCAAGCAGAGTTCAGCGAAAGCCCCCCCATGGTCTTCTGGGTTCTGTCCATTCGAGGACACGTGCTCTGCTGGAGAGCAGGGGGTTGCGTGCCGGGAGTCCTGGGTTCTAGACCCAGCTCTTTGACTTAGTAGCTGGGCCATTGTTTGCATTATAATAGCACCTAGAGATGCCAGCTGCTGTGTCTGTCTGTGTGCACTAGTTACTGTACATCAATGTAGTCAGAGATGGTGCTTGCCCTGGAGTGTCTGCAACCTACATCGATGAAGCAACTTAAGTGCTGAGGGGAAAACACAGGGGCAGAGAGCTGGCAGAGATGCCCCAGCAGGACAGCGTCCAAGCCAGGAACAGAGCTTGGATTCCCCCGACAATCCGCAGCCCTGGTGGCTAAAACTCATTGCCCCTCTGATCTTACACAAGCTGCTCCACTTCTCTGCCCTCTCCCCCTGCCTCGTTGTGACCCTGAAAGCAGGTGTGTGCCCAGCCCTCTGCCGGGGTCGGGTCACGCGGATGAACTCCAGGGAGTCCTAGGAACTGTTCGGACTAGATGGACGCACCAGCCCTCTCCCTGGGGCAAAGTTGGCAGGTGCCATTAACCATGAGAAGTGCACCTGGGCTGGGCCTTCTGAGATTCCCCTGCCCCCCTGCAGGGCTGTGGGTGCTGAGTCCCCAGAAGAGGCACACGTCCCCCTTGCGGATCGTGGCGGGCAGAGGCTATCGGGACTGCGTGAAGCACTTGATCCTGCAGGGGGCCGAGGTCGATGCCGTGGTGGGCGGGAAGGCTGCTCTCCATGACAGCTGCATCCACCAGCGCGCCGAGTGTGCCCAGTTGCTCTTGAGCTACGGTGCCGACGCCAACGTGCTGACGGAGGAGGGGCTGGCTCCACTGCATCTCTGCACCTCCCCAGAGACCTTGCGGTAAGCTTGCGGGTAGGGACAGGGGCAGAGTCTGGTATTTCCTAATGAATCCCCTAACCAGCAGAGACCTATAGGGCAGGTCAGTGACTTGCAAACTACCTGGTCTTTAAGGGGGGAGGCTGGGAAAATGGCCCTCCCCCAAGCTCTGCCCACAGGCCAAAGCTCCAACAGTAAGAGGTGAGTGGTCTCGTTTTGCAGGTTGTCACTAGTCTTCAGAGTCAACAAGGACCTGAGCCAGATCTCACACCTGAGCTGTTTCAGGCTCCCTGCAGACTGGGGCAGGCATTGCTGCCTCAGGTCCTCATTTGAAAATTCTATTCCCAATAGTCAGGGCTAGAGGTGTGGGGCCAAAAGTCTGGTAGCGATGTGACCCCATGATGAGTGGCTTGGGTGCCTCTCTTTTTTGAGCTCCTCTTGTCAGTAGCAAGCGTTTCTCGGCTGTACAACGCGCGAATACTCAGCTCACAGTCCTCAGAGCCCTTTACAAAGAAGGGCAGTATCATTACAGATGGGGAAACTGAGGCATAGAGGGCAGTGCCCAAACTCACCCCACAGAGCTGAGAATTAGAGCTAGGTCTGCATATCAGTCCTGTGCTCTACCCGGTAGGCCACGCCGCCTCCATGCCAATGATCTTCCCTACTGTGGCATAAGTGTGTCAGGTGGCTTCTCCTATTTCTCCCCCCCCCATGAGCTGGGTTACAGCATTACTGAGCCGAGATGGTAGGCCTGCCTCCCCTCGGCCTGCCATTGCAAGTCAGCAGCCCTGCCTGGCGCCGGTGTGCCAAAGGCACAAGTTCATTTCTGTCACTTGCCTCTGAAGTCTCGCCCCTTTGCCGGCCCCACCAGAAGCTTCCCGCATGTGGAGCCGAGCTCTCTTGCTGCTGCCAAGGGCGTCTGCCTGAGTCTGCAGAGAGCCTGCAGCGATCCCTCTGGGCGTCACTCGGGTCGAAATCCAAGACTCGAAGAGCCCAGCAGATTGTTGGGGTGCAGCTCAGCCCAACAAGCCCCGGCTTGTTCCTGGGGAACCTGTCCTCTGAAAATCAGCTCTTTGTGGGATGGGGGGGCCCTTTGCACCCCCTTCCCACTAGGCACCCAGGCCCTGGAAGAGGCCAATCAGGGCCTGGGGGCGGGAGAGTGCATGAAGCCTCCTCCACTTTCCTCTTCTTCCCCCCCCCCCCCCCGCCACAG